GACGAAGGGAGTATATATTTCCTCTCAAATTCGTGATCATTTACTCTACTATTTGTCATGCATGATGTTGTTTACTTGTTTAATTTAATTCTCCCTTCTAACTTAGGGTAACTAAGCACATGTGTTGACTATATCACATGGAAATATGAAATTACGAGTCTGTTCTGAACTTCTGATTGACTAATTGAGCTGAATTGAACTGAGCTGAATTTACTAAATTAAATTGAACTGAATTTATTGGAGCCGAGCTGAACTAAACTGAACTAAAAATAATCTAGAGAGAACATGCCCTAAGGTACTAACAAGCTAAGTAAAGATGATTGCGTAAGCATGTGCCTTTATGCAGGTTGTTTAGAATGAGGGTAGAGATACAAGGATTAAAAACGAATGATGATTGGTAATAATAATAGGATGGTTCCATTCAAATAAAAAAAATAAAAAAAAAAAAATAAAAAAAATAAATAAAATTAGTAAGATGGCTATTGGCAGCAAAGTTACTACGGAGTAACATTTCTGTATTAAGATTCCTATTCCTTCTTTAATCTCCTCCCCTCCATCGCCCAACCAAGGGTTAATGCCCTAATAACACCCCTCTCTAGATATAGAATTATAGGATAATTAAGGGGAGATTTTATCTCTATCTATACCCCCTCTAAAAGTCTAGTCAATTTCGCGCTCTTATCTCTATCCCTTCCTCCTTTTTCCCCTAGCCTAAACAAACACTCCATATATGGAATGATTTTCATGATTGGATGAAAATGGGCCTTGGCCTACTAGTAGTAAATTATGTAAAATGGTCTTGCACATCAAATTTACTTACATTTTTTAGCTAAAGAAACACGTACATACGTTAGAATAGTCTTCTATATATCAATATAATTAAAGCTAAAGCTATCGTACTGCTTTTACTTTTATCTATCATATAGACTAAATTTTTATATAATTTGCTAAATTCTCAATATACCTTCTATTTAATTAAAACTATTACATTTATGTCTATTTATTGTCATCATGTTATACAAAATTCTCTACTATGTAATTTGTCAACTTCTATTCTTGTGATTTGCTCAAAAATATGTGATGTAGATAAGATTTGCTCAAAATAGATATTGACTTCAAAACTTTACCAAAGTTGATATCCAACATCTATTCTATGACATGGCAAAGAGCCAATATATTCTAGTATTAGAAATTGTAGTAACATAAAACTTGAACCTTGACTTTAAAAGGGCAACTAGTCAACTACTTATCTATTTGAATAATTAAATGTCTTAAAATATGTCACGAAGCTATAATAAGGCTGTATTGATTTCGTGCGGGACACATAACTTTCACCCAACTTTCCCATTTTCAGATTCTAAGCCAAGCAATATTGCACCCCCAAAAAAATTTAAAACTTTAATTTATTATGAGTTTCAATGCTATTATTCAAAAAATCTGTGTCATGGTTGAAAATTGGAGATGTTTTAACATCTAACACGCCATATTTGATACATTTTTTTTTATTTGTTTGCAATTACATCATAGCTTGCATCATATCACTTGCTTTTCACTGTATTCTCCATTTAGAGCGGTCAATACGGGTATTCATATAGGTTTTCAGGTCGATTCAAATCAAGACTCTAGTCAACTTCGATTGATAATTTCAGTTCGTTTATAACCTCTAAATTAGTTTTCCGTGTTCGATTTGATGGATGGTAAAAGTGTGAAGATAACAATTGAGTTGAATGATTGTATATCAAGTTATTTGACAATATTAGCTCATAATTAATCGTGTAGTATTTTAAAAAGTTGACTAAGAGATAATCCATAAAAAGTTAGTTAATTGAGAAGTTATAGTCACTAGTTCAAATTGATAAATTAATTGATATTTGAAGCTAAAAAGTTAGTGAAAGCTGAAGAGTTTGCTCACCAAAATTTTCTAACTTGAAAAACTAGTTGTGTTTTTGCTTAGAAAACAAATCAAAATGCAAAGATCTAGCTTAATTAAATAAGGTGACTTGCTAAATCAAATCAACAATTCTATACAATATCATTTCAAGTTACAAGTCAACACACTTTGAAAAGTTCATCGTTAGAATATAATTGCAAGAAAAATTTATTTATTTAGCTCACAAAGTACCACACATTTTTTTTTGTTTTTTTTTTTTTTGTCGAGAAGAAAAAAGATTTCATTAATGAAAGATAGCCAAACAACACTTAAAAACAATTCCTAGGAAATCTAAAATTCCAATACAAGTACAAATCACCTCAAAATTAAGTACATCGCAGATTCGATCAACGATCACCTTAATAATAAACTTCATCTGAAGCAAAACAATATGTGAGTTAGCACTAATTCGGCTTGCGATCCACGGATGAGTAGTTGTTTGGGTGAAGAAACTCATATGGCCTTCTAGATACTTTCGAAGACGATGAAACTCTAAATCTTCAATCTTTAGCACAGGAACAAAAAAAAAAGAGACTAATTGAATAAACCCCATCATAAAGATGTGGGATCCATATATTAAAAGCAATTAAAAAGTTTTTTTAGGGTTTATCACCGGTGAAAGTCCCTACAAAAATTTACAATTAAGATCAGAAGAAAAGAGATGAAAGAGAAGAGAAAAAAGAAGAGTGAAACCTTAAAAAAAAGCAGAAAAAAAATCTAACAACGGATGCTAGAAAAATCCTCCTAAGGGAAACACTAAAGGGAACAAAAGAAAAACCCTCCTAATGAGAAAACCTACAATTACAACACATTAGACTTTTTAAATACGTTTATCTTCTCTTCACAAAAAACCAAAATTAGAAAATATCATCCCATCACTTCCACATAATTATCATTACTCATTATTTTGGGAGGTTGGAGGATTGGGTCATGTAAAGATAGAACCTAATGATGATTTAGTGAACCAATCTTATCATAAAATTACTATTCATATGCTCCTAAAATTGTTCAATTCATCTATCTAAAGGAAGAATGTATCCAATTGTAAATAAAACTAAACTATAAGTGGACCAAAATAAGTAGGAATTAGTAATGAATAGTATCTTAAAATGGTAGGACCTTTCCTACATAGCACATGTTAACCAATAATTAGAAGCATAAAGAGAGGAGGTTGTGAGTTGTGATTGTGCATTTGTGCCCATAGCTTTGTGGGCGCTACTTTCTTTTTTTTTTTGGCTTTTCTTAGAACTAGAAATTCAAGTACAATTTGAATAGCCTCTTTGTTTTTGCCCTTTATTTTCCTTATCAATTGCAACAAAATTTAGGTGTGGAGGAAAATTGGATAAATCAATATAATACTACATATATAAAAGAGGCAACAAAAGTAGGCAAAAACTAATCAACATGTTTGGTTTCTCATACAAATGAATAATTAGGATAATACTATAGAAGTAAAGAACCTACCATATTAGTAACTTGCTTAGACAAGTAATATAGTCTTAAGTATTTGATAATGATGTGTATACTACTAAGAGCTAAGGGCTTGTTTAACATTGTTTTTTTTTAAATAAAAAACCAAAAATAGAAAACCAGAAAAAAAAATAAAATGTTTTCATTTCTGTTTGTCAATTTTCAAAATTATTATGATTTTAATAAGTTTGACTAAATTTTTATTCTTTATATGATGTATATCATATGATTTTGAAAAACAAAAAACAAAAAAAAACAAAAACAAAACTGGGCTTATTTGGCATCGTTAATTTTTTTTTATTTTAAAAAAAAACAAAAATAGGAAACAAGAATTATCATGATTTTAATAATTTGACTAATTTTAAAATAAAAAACCAAAAAACAAAAAATTACAGCAATGACAAATAAACCCTTTAAATTAATGCTTAACGGATCATATTTAATTTTTGCCAAAGTGTCCTACGCATTAGAATCCCTTTGTTCATGATTTATTATGCAAAAGATTTTTTTAAAACAATATCGTGAAAAAATAAGGACCAATTTATGAGTCAATTGAAACAGTTGTAATGAGTAGTTATGACGACAATGAGCAATAAGCAAAAGGCTACTAAAGCAACACCATGGAAAAACTTGTGCCAATCTCAATGAGTGTGATGATAATGAAGTTGCATATAGTTTTACAAGAAAGAATTTGTGCCAATATCTATCGTATTGCAAATTTGCAATGCAATGTCCTCAAGTATCCCCTAAGAATTTTTATATTTTTTCCCTTTACCACTCTCATTCGAGCACAAAATTAAAATATGTCATTCTTTCTCTACCCACTTTCTCACTCCACTTTCATTTTTCTTCATGGACATTTTATTTTAACAACTCTTTAATTTTCACACACTCATGGGCTAAAAAAAACCCACACCATTCTCTCCCCTCTATATTTCTTTCTCCTACACTAACTAATTATCTGATTTTAGAGCTAAGGCCCATAGGTACTGTAGCGTTTTATTTTTGTCATTTCCATGGGCACTTGACTATCTCCTCATGGACATTTTCTTTTTTTTGGTCATGAGTAGGATGTCATTTTTACCACTTTTATCATTATATTCTCCTTATGGACATTTTTTTGCCCATAAGTTAGAGTGCTCTTACCATCAATCCACCTCTAGAAGTGGTAAGAATGAAATGAATATTTGTAACTTATATCAAGAAAGAACTATCATTTTTTTACATCTAAATAACTTGCAAAAATATTGCCTACATCCCTAAAAAATGCATTGAACCTTCGATTTTACTCTTTTTTTCCCTTCTTTTTATAAACTTATTGTACATGGATAAACACAATTATTGATGGAAAAAGAGATAAAAAAAAAAAGTGAAGTTGCAAGTGCAAAAAGTTATTAATTACAATATAAAGCAATTTTTTAGGGGCATTTATTTTTAGCGTATGAGACAATCTTTTAGGGACGGAGGGAGTACATATAAAAAGGAGAACATAAACATTGTCACACGACTTTCCATAAATATTCCATGTAAAGATTATAAACTCATTAACATTGAACAATCTTATAAGGGCATTCATTTTTAGTATGAGACAATATCTTTACTAATAAAGGGAGTACAAAAAGAAAGGGAAACATGAACATGGACATATTGATTTTCCATAAAATTTACGGAGTACATATAAAATCATTAACATTGTAATTATGTACCAAACGTGTTGTTTAGCCCATAGCCGTAGGTTATCAAATACACCAAGAAATGGCAATGCTTCAAGTCTTCAACACTGAAACTGCCTAATACAGTTGCAGTTGGGAAAAAAAAAAAAAAAAAAAAAAAAAAAAAAAAAAAAAAAAAAAAAAAACCCTGCATAATATAGAAAAACGGAGAAATGTTGCAAAAAAGTTTACAATTTTACATGATTCTATGAATAATTCTATCAAATAGATGTTTATATGAATCAAGTGAAGTTAATCATCCACATTGACTATCAGGAAACTAGTGATATCTCATTTCTTTAGCCTCAAAATTAACTATAGCAACATATCCTGAAATTTTTTCATCTACGACATAACTAAACTAAGTGTGCCATACTGCCATACATAATTTTAGGGTCAGAAAAAACTAGGCTACACTGCAAAAATAATATTATGTTTCAGCAATTAATACTCAATGTATAATGTTACTCTATTCAGCTTTGAATATGGAAGCTTCAGTCTCCAATCCTTCCTTTTACGACTCATTGGCCTTCCTTTACTTGCAGGATCCCTATTTGCTCGTACGTCAGCCAGTTTCCAGACACAATGCTCTGTTTCTGTCTCAATAGAATCAAGCAAGAAAACCCCACTCTTCTCCTGAGATTTGGCTTCAGTACCTTCTTCAACATAAGATACCACCATAGGAAAATCTTTGAACCTAAGTAAGTCCTCCGGTATTCTTAGTAGGCGCTCTGCACCTGGAGAAGATACCTACAACATACAACAAAATGTACCATTAGATCTAAATTGTCATTCTCATACAGCACCTTATTTTGTTTAAAAATAATATGGACATGAATAATCCAAGTTTTTCCAATCTCAAATACTACTAAATCCAACACAATTTTTGAGGTTAATTTTTCAAGATATTCTTAAGTATTATTTTTTTGTTTTTCTTGTGTCTTTTTGATTGAGTACATCTACAGTATATACATCGGACTATATTGAGAAGATAAGTAGATAACCCAAATAGTTGGGGTCATTTTTAAACTATCAAAAGGTGGAATTAAGATCAAACTTGCGATTGTTCATGTTTGCTTTTTTTTTTTTCTTTTTTCCCTTCACAAGGGTAATTCTTGGACAAATGTTACTATAAAGAATCTTGTGTCATCAATTGGACAGCATTGATTTACCTCCAGAGCAAGATCATTTGGTATCTCTCCCTTAAATCCATCTTCCTCCAAACGTTTCTTGTATTCTCGGCTATAACTTTCAATTAGCTCTATGCTGGGGCAGCCATACCTATATGAATCACACCACAAATTAATACATGCAGCAAACTCAGACAAGCCAACATACAAAGATGCATATGGTAAAAAAGAATGTATGAGGGGTTTTTTTTTAAAAAAAATAATTACGAATCAAAATTCAAAGAAGCTAAGCTTCAATGCATACAATGATACAAGAGCTCAAAGGCCTCAAACTAACAAACTTGTTCTCAGTTCTCATATGCATAAGATACTTAAACTGACCCAAGCCTACAGTTAGTAGCCAGTTACAGCCTTACAGATCTCCTGGGGATATGTGATTCCATCATAATTACTATTTACCAGTAACAGGTTAAGTCATATTCATGACAAAATACTTTGTGTATAATTCTTTCGTAGGTGAAATATTGATATGGTATAGCCCGTACAGGATTCAAAAACAATTTAGATAAAATCCCACAACACAGAAAACATACTCATTGGAGAGTTTGTCGAGTCTGACATAAATATAGCCGCGAGGAGTAGTCTTGAAAGAGTACAACTTTACGTCATCGTCAAATTGTAGCAAAACTTCACGTGCTATAGATAGTACTTTTTCACCCCAGGGGACATTTTGGAGCACAATTCCACCTCCAGCCCCTCCATCACCGATCTGAAATTAATGGCATACGTACAAAAGGAATCAGCTGATTAAAAAAGTGGCATAAAAAATCTTAATAATGTTAAGAGCACCTCAGGATCAGTGTCATCCTCTTCCACCCATTCCTCAATAACCAAATCTTGATCAGTTTCATCTGCAAAGAAGCAAAAATATAAGTTACAAGCAATCCTCAAAGAACTACGTAGATCCAAGCAAAGCACTCAAGTCTCCTAGTACACCTTAGTACCTTACAACAAGCACCATGAGAGCCCCATGAGAACAAATACAAAGATGCTAAAAACTCCACGGTAAACTGCTAGGAGACGCCCAATTAGGGAAGATTCAATCATTTTTTTCAACCAGATCACCTACATAACTGTATAAACCGCTTAATACTACAGTATCTTGCTCCTGATTTGTCCAGGAAGCCACACAAGAAATTTACAAACATCCCAAATTAAAAGTGAAGCACGCTAGCCACACCCAACATACTCTAGCCAATATGTGCTCCGTACCATCAGCTTATCACAATTATTGATTGTTTTCAATAAACTTACATACAAAATCTTCTTCAACTAACTTTGGGACCTTATTACTCAAAGAAAAATTAGAGATAGTAAAAGGCTGTGGATTTGAAAATCTTCTTGGGTGACCATAAAAATTTTACAAGAAAAAGCTTCTCTAAATCATCCAACGAGTCTCGGTTATAACCAAAATTCATAATAGAAACTGGCTCAATATCAGTCAACACTCAACAGGTTACTAAGCTATCCTAGTTCCCAATTTAGGTGACCCCACCCCCACCCCCCCAAATCTTAAAGTGAAGTTTCACGAAAGAGATCCAACCCTTCCCACACTAACAATAGAGATATGAGCATTATCAACAGATTAAAGAAGGTTATACAGAACTACAGACATGAGACAAGAATTAGAACAGGCTGCTCCCCTGTCCAAGATATCTCCTAGAATGCAACAAAATACCAATATCAACCCAATGTTTGAAAAAGCGCGCCTAGACTTAGAAGCATAAGGCGTCAGGGGTCATGCGCTTTGTGGCCTAGGCGAAGCTATTTTAATGACACGCAGCCAAAGGTGCACGGCAGATTTTTTAGGTTTTTTATAGTTTATTATACGTGCCTAGCTTCAACAAGGCGCGCGGAGGCACGACTTAGGCGCACGAAACTCTGAAACGCCTTGGTGCGCCTTGAGCATTTAATACGTTGTAAGGAAAGTAAAGTTATGAAAGTACATTGGGAAAGATAAAACCCCAATAATTTGTAAGGAAAGTAGAGAGAGAAAGTAAGAAAAAGTACATTGGGAAAGATTAAACCCCAAACATTATTGCAAAAATGAGGGTAAAGTAAGAACGAAGAACGAAAAACGAAAACTGAAGATTGAAGCTACGTATGTAGTCGCTAAGCCACGCTTTCGAAAAAATGGTGATCTTCTAAGAAAGAAAAAAAAAAGAAAAAAGATAGAAAACCCTATATTAATAAAGCAACCAAAGAAAACTTAATAATGGGTTGTGATGATGCCAAATGTGAATCCTCAGTGTCAATCAGTATAAGCAAAGAAAACGAATGAAGAAGGTTTGAAGAAGTTAGTATAGTATATGCTAAGGAAGAACATTGAACCTTCGTTCTTCCACCATGTCGTACCAGGTAGTTGCAAGACTAAGGGTTGATAGAGACAATGCGGCATCTCGTACTATAGAAGAGTTGTGTGTGGCTATCTTTGCCTTCCTAACTTTTATTGGGATAAACCCTATAAGGTTTTTCTTTGATAGCTACATATGACTCCTATAGTTTCTCTACTAAAATCCCTTAGTGAGGTTGTTCTTGTTGGATTAATTACCCTTTTTGAGTTAGAGCTACCTAGTATTAGCTCTTTATACCAAAATGTGCCTGAGCATAAAGTGTCTTGTTGTCTACTGCAGAGGTAGGAGCATTCTATATGTAGGATTTCCAATGGGGAAGGGCTAAAGGGGAGGGGGAGGTAGGAATAAGGCAGACACCTATGACGGCTATGAGACAAACTTCCGTGGGTTTTCACGGCCATGTTTGTAATTACAGCCTTCCTAAAAATTTATGTGGTTTTTTTTTTACTGTCATTTACAAACTGCATACTTAAAACAAAATTTTGCTGCAAAACTGTAAAAAGAAATAGCATATACTAACCTTTGTCAAATCCCATCTTAAAAAGTAATCTATTGTGAAAGCATTTAATAGGAATGATATTTTGTTTAGCTTAATATTAGAGATATAGATTTAGCTTTTAGGTGTAATACAGGAAATATAAACACTTGGGAGTTCAAGTGAGTTTTGGAATATAGGAAAACACAAAAAGACACACTAATATTGCAAACGACAATAGAGTATCATTTTTCTATATATATATTCAACATATCAAAGCTAACAACAACTTTTCTGTGTAATTGGCCACACCGTATGACAGGGGTTACTTTTAGGGTTGGGTTACTAGTATGAGTTACTTATTCAGGGGATACTTGTACGGGTTATTTATTCAGGGGTACCTGTATGGGCCAATAGGGGTTACTTACTTAGTCAATTGAGTAACCCTGACCGACTAAGTAACCCTTGAATAAGTAACCCCTATAATTTACCCCTGATCAAATAACCCCTAAATAAGTAACCCATATAAATAACCCCTGAATAAGTATCCCCTAGAAGTAACCACTGCCACACGATGTGACAATGTGACCAGCCACATATAAAAATTTGTCTAAAGCTAATAAGAACATATGCAAATCATGAACTTCGGAGTATATTACTCGAAAATATGCAACAAAGGATTTAAATATGCAACAAAGGATTTAAATAGCCATATACATTCTGTAAACAAAGAGGATTATGTATGATCTTCTAGTAAAGCTTTACATATCCACAATTCCACATGTCATGTCTTGTCAAAAAGAAGTCTTCAGTGGTGAAACTATTGCCTACTAATCAATCAGCATTCGAATTGGAGTTATAAACATGATAACCATGATTGCCATAATCATGAAGCTATTTCCATAATTATTGCGACAGCAAATCAACAAGTTTCATCATTATAAAAACAATTCAGAGTCAAAAATGGGAAACTGTCAATGCATATAGTACATTATACATATGAACTTACTTTTCTTAAAGCAAGCAAAATTATCTGAACACAACATATTACAAATGTACATGGAAGTTTTTACAAAGGAGTAATAAAGTCAGATGCCTCATAATTTGGTACTCAATTACCATCAAATTTAGTCAATCGTCCAATTCACACTAACATAGGCACATAGCAGTTATCTCTCTTAGACCTTTCATCAAACACCTGGAAGAGGTAATTCATAACTCACGAAATTTATCACACTAGGCATGAAAAATTATAACAAAAAAAACCCAGACATTCCAACAAAACATTGAAAGATTCAACAAATGTAATCAGTAAACCAATCATTCAAATGGGTATTTCAAAAAACATGAAGATAAACAAAACCCAGAATGATCACTAAAAAAGGAGAAACTTTGCTTACATGGGTCTTCTCCATTGTGATCAGAAGCTCCAGAAATGCTGAAAAAACGAAGAATTTGAGAAGAAAATGCGGAAACTTTGTGTTGTGATGACAGAAAAGGCAAATGTGGAGTAAAAACGGTGGAGGGTTTAAGGGAAGGGTTTAAGAGATTTAGGGGTTTAGGAGAGAGAAATGTTGAAGGGGAAAACAATGGTTTTTGAGAAGAAGGGAGTTGAGATTTTCTTGATAATTTTAGCAGAGTTTGAAGATTCCTCATCCTTTTTTTCTCAGAGACACTTTATACTCCTACTTTGCTACATAACAATATAACACCATGGATGACTTGATGTACACAAATACGCTTTTTTTTTTTTTTTTTTTTTTTTTTTAAAAAAACAAAATAGTGAAGTTTAATTTTATACAAAGAACTAAGGTAATTACTCCATCCGTTGGTCCGTTCGAGACAGGAGACTATAATAATTAGCTGGTTTTTTTTAAAAAAAAAAAAATTAGACGTGAGGTCAGAGGTCGAATCTCACCAAGCTCATTATAGGAGGGATTTTCTTAAAATCGTCCTTTCGTTACAAGAATGCTCCGAATTCTTTTCTCATCTCATTTCATCCTTTTGACACATTAGTGCATTACTTTCTTTTATCTCACTTCCTATTAAGTATCAACTCTTTTCTCTCCGCAAGTATTTGGCCTTGTTTGACAATTTATTGTTGGCTACCAGGTGTTTAACTCGGTTGGTTGGAGTGACTGTTAACAAAAGCGGTTTATATTGGTTATTATTTTTTTTTATTTTTTTATTTTTTATTTTTTATATTTATCAATTTTTTTTTGATTCAAATGAAGATGGGATACATCCAGGATTATATTTATCATTGGTTGTATGTAAATAGATTTAGTTAAATTAGTGGTTGACAAACTGTTGTAATTATGCAAAACGACCTTAAAGGACATGATAATGTGTGTTTACTTATTAATCTATTAAGAGTACTAGTAACTTAATATAAAATATTACATTTAACCGCTACATTGATAGCTAACCTCAACCTACTACTAATTGACCGCTACTCGTTATTTTAACAATTATTTGCTATTGGACCACTAGTAGTAAATTAAATAGATTGTGCATATAAAGAACTTTAAATGATTTTATAGATGTCTTGGGTTGAATAAAGATTATTTTCAATATGAATAGAACTTGAAATTGGTTCCTACTTGATCCTTTTTTTTTTACTACTCCTAATTGATTCTAAGATACTAGAGTAGCATTACAATGGTAATTTTTGAAGTGTTTTTCACTACTTTTTCCTTTCCAAAACTATCATCCTATTTTGCCTTTTATGAGTGTTTTTATCAATATTGTAACAACCTTAATTTTTAAGAGTAAATTTAAATACCAATTAAACCTAATTAAAAATTTGATTAAGTAATACTAACAATAAGTGTAGTAATTAAGATATTTTCGTTATATGTTGATATATATGAATCAAATGTAATGCGTTAGGTAAGATTATGTGCTACACCCAAAAAAAAAAAGATCATGTGAAATTCTTATTAAGCTTTGTGTAAGAATAGCCAAGTTACTATTACTGAGTTTGTATCATGTGCAACATTAATTGATAATTCATCCTTCCTTTGCAACGTCTAACCAGTAAGCACGGATCAAAATTTCATTTTTTTTTTTGTGCAGCCAAAAAAGGCTGCCCAGTTACAAATTTCACACATCAACTGGTCTTCTTGTAATATTGAGCAACTTTTTTCAAAAAAAATAATTTCAATGCCTTACAAGCTAACTCATCATCTTCTATTTCCTCACGTTTACTTCCATCTTCTTCAACCTTCTTTAACCTCCCTTCTTCCTTTCTCGACAAACCTAAACCACCGCAACAAACACCATGCCTAACACCACCAACACCACAACAAACCCCAACCCCAACATTTCCGAAGTTAACGAAAAACATTAAGAAAAATATAAAAAAAAATTAAGGGCATAGTGAACCCCAAATGATAGGTTTTTGCTTCTACCATTGATTTCCTCGACCTCCATTGAAAAATTCAAGCTCCATTGTTGAGGAGAGAGATAGCGCCCGGTTAACGTCTTCCAAGACAAGTAAAAGACGTTTGTATCCCCAGCAGAGTGTTCAAAAATACTAATATACCCCCTTGAGAAACAGATTGGTTGAGAAACTTGGATTTTCTCCAGCCAAAATACTCTCCAGTATCATAAAACACTTCCATCAAAGTAACTTTTTTGTGACAAATCAAATCAAGCAATAAAGACTCATGTACATTTTGAAGTTCTCAACCAGGATTCGCAAAAAAAACATGCTGCCATAGTGCCATGCACAAAACCAGCAATAACCACAAAAACAAAGACGAAACAAAGAACATAAATCCAGGCTTTCATCAGCTGCATCTACTTCTTCTGTAAACAAAAGTTTCATATCTACATGTTTGTGCTCAGAAATAAATTTGATTATTCCTGCACTAATAATAGCAAGCCAGAGCCTGTTCATCAGCAGTTCGAGAACAGAACCACCTCCAGTACTTGCTGGCATAAAAGTTTTCTTAATTGAAATAAAAGGCATCATAAATACAAAATGATGCACAGTATATAAGCAGAGAAAGTTAAGGCAAAAGAAAGAGAGACACGCAAGTACGCAACTAAGGAATCATTTTGAGCTACTAGCCTACAAGCGCAGAATGGTTCTCAGAGTATCACTTAGATTTTGAATAGTCTGTTGTTCTTGTGCTACTTGCAGATCTTGAAGTGGCATCTCTTCATAGCACCTGTTTCAAATTAGACAATCCAGATGAAACCTTTCACAATTTGATTCACTGAAACAAAACCATTCTAGTATAGGGACGACACAATCAACATATCGCAGAAAGCAAAAGGCTTTGTATATGCGGTATCAAAAGAAGTGACAACATACAAATAGTAACTTACATTTTGTGATAAGCCAGAGCTTGAGCCAGATTCATAAGTGTGGGACTTGAGGTAAGTCTTTGATAAACGCTTGGTGGAAGGGCCATCGGCTGCTTATGCAAAGAGAAAGGCAAAAGGAAGGGAAAAAAAGAGTTAAAAACATACTGAACCTAAAGGAAAATAAACCACATAACCCTAATCATAAAAACAGACTAAGCAATGAAACCTCATTTTGTCCCCGCCTCTTTTTTGATTGAGCATCCCCAGCAAAAAGTTCTTGCAATGCTTCCGCAGCCACCATCCCACTATTTTCTTTTTGCTTCCCCCCAAATACATTATCAGATAAGAGTGCAATAGGTGATATGTCAGTTGCCCTCAGAAAAGGAATAGGCACCGTATTTCCAGCTGCATATATTGACCAAAGCTACAACGACAATGCAATTCAGATAAGTGAATGCTATAAAATACCCAAAAAAAGATAAATGTAAAACAACATTCCAAAAAAATATTAATTTAAAACAACACTGATGTGATTCACTAACAATGTGCAAGTTACCTCAAAGAATGTGCAAGTTACCTCCATAAGCAGGCGGGTAAATGTTATTGATCTTGAGGAAATAGATCATGGAATTAGGCTAGATAATGACCTAGGGATCTTATATACAACCCCGTTACAAAAAACGGAACATGTCCCATACATAGGCCCAAACAGAAAAATCATAACCCAAGATAACAGATACCATCATTTTGTTGGGGCAAACAGATTCAAGTATATTCAAATAATGAACAACATAAATATATTTGGTAACAGATAGAAAGATTGTCGATAAGGGGTCAAAGTATCTGATCTCATGGACCAACTTATGCAAAGTAACCATTCTAAACCTGTAATATCTTTGTTTGAGGCACTTCAGCAATGGTAATAGGTACAAAAGCAAATGAAAAAAAAGTGTAAATTGACATTATTGTTTCGTATAACTACATATCTGATTTCAGAGAAAAGTGTGCATGATATATATATTCAACTACTACAAGCAATAGACAATTTTAGCATAAGCTCTGTTCATTTTTTCGTTTGATGATTAATCTCAAGCAACTTTTACTTTTTCATCCCTAAGATTCTATGAAACTTAACCATTCCCCTCCAAAATTTTTGTGAATTTTAGTTCAAGTTAACAGAATACCTTGCCTCTACTGTGAATTTACTAATGTGCATAGATAGTTGAAACAAGTAAAATGAATAATTTGCAACAACTTCACTTTAAGCATAAGCCATGGGAGCTAGAAGATGACATCCTGTAGCTAATTTACCGGGACACACAATAATCATGGGTCAAAGTACTTAATACATAACAAGACATCCACAAAATCAGCTAAAATGACAATTTGTGGAGCAAATAGCAAAGCTTTGAGCACATCATTCCTGTTAAGAACCTACAATAGATCGAAGAACAAGAAATTGTACACCTAAAAAGTATCATTGTAATGATCACATCAAGAAGAGAGTCAAAATAAAAAAAATAACCTTGTCTTGCGCTGAAAATGTTTTTCGACTGACAGTTTCACTCCTAGATTGGTCACCCAAACCACCACTGCCTCCAACCTTTGTCTGACATGTTTTGCTTGCCATACGGTTCTGTAAAGGAACGGTTGCTGCAATGGATTCTCGATTGACTCCACTAGCAACAAGCAATTCTTTCTCATGTATATTTGTGGCAGCACTGGTAAATGCTTTATTCCCCCTGAAAAAAATATACAACAAACTAGTCAACCTCCAAAACTACGTGAAGCATATAAACACCTAAAGTTAACCGCCGCAAAAGGTGAATAATTGAATAAAGCCATACTTCTAATGTTCAGGAGCTTATCAGTGCACAAAATGTAAGCAAAAGCAAATAAAAAATGGAGCACGAAAATTAGTTTATTTCTCATTTTCTCGTACAGATGATGGTTATAATTAATACGCTGATGAAAGATTTAGAGACTGATTCCAAATTTGAACCATGTTCTAATAATAAGCTAAAAACATTAGTTTCTCACGAGATATTTTAATTTTTCAAAAGTTTTAAAAGAGAATAAAGTGCAGGTCAGGTACTTAACGTTACTATTACCTAGATGACTTTAACATGATCGGTTCTCTCTTTAAGGCCTGGCTCAACCCATAAACATGATTTTGGAAAATTTCTTTCCAAAAGATACCATGGCACAAGAAAAGTATCAATTTGCTTGGGAAAAAACAAATACCTTTGATCAAATATTACATCTGATTTAACACTCAGTGAGGAAACTTCAGGACTGCCATAAAATGATGATGTCTTCTCTTCGTCCCCACCATGAACTACAAAAGTTCCAAAATCACCTGCACAGAGAAAAGACCACAAATGTTGTTTGCCAAAACATTACAATCCACAGCTAAAAAGAAAAGTTTCAAAAGGACCAGTTAAACCGGAAGACAGCAATCACAGGTAATTCCATCAAGTGTTGTTTCAGAGCACAAGGCTTGCACCAAAGAGGTTTCAGTGCCCTTATGATATTATTTGTGTGGTTTCAACAGCAACAAAGACCAAACATTAGTCTTGGTACAGGGAGGACGAATAGAGGCAGGCAGAGAAGAGAGAAAGTAGAGCTGTGTTTGGTTAGGCATCAGCAAGGGGTTGTCAATGGCCAGCAGTATAGAGGAGGCATTGTGATAGGTGAGTCTGGACGGTAGGGAGGGAGGTGCTTGCGGCGGTTCACTTAAGGGGGAGAAAGAGTTGTGAGAGGGAATGCGACAGAGTGGGTGAGGGAAGGGAATGAGCCAATGAGGTAAGCGTGGTGGTGGAAGACGAATGTTCTAGGCAGGGGGGTTTGAGGCGGTGGAATAATTGTGGTGCTCACAGTAGGTGAGAAAAACAGGGGGTTTATGGGCCGTGAAGATGCTGGGATTTGGTGCAGCGGTGGACGGTGAGTTGAAATAGAGGAGAGAAAAAAGGGATAAAGAGGGTTAACCATACAAATATTAACCATAGTCCATAGTAAGTTATACCAAATAATATTTTTTATGTTTTAACCTTCATTAATGCCACCATCACCAATGCTATTAGTCAATAGAAAA